AAAACTCAAAAAACGCGAGTAATTACGTACTGAAGAAACTTAGGCGGGTCCGCCAGATTCGTGGTGCTCAGTACTCTTTGGGGCTTGCAAGGCTGACACTGTTAGAGGAATGGAAGCCGAGCAAACACTATCTCAGTGGGAGGGCTCAGAACAGAAAAATCACAGCTTTATCCCAACTCATTCAACATCCTTATTCAATAGATACTTGCTGGAAACAGCTTATCAGCTCCTCTGACGAAAATGTCATGCTCACGCTATTACGACCAGGGTAGAGCATCGTTGTAAGAAACACATAGGGGGGATCCAACCTTCGCCTTTGGGAAGGTGGGTCGAGAAGGGGAGGGGGGGGGGCGTATGTGGGTTGAGAGAAATTTGCCGCCTTGGACGGGAGCCCAGCATTTGACCTCCGAGTCGCGCGTGGTGAGCGAATCACTTGCCTCTACACCATCTCGCCTCCAAACGCGCCTTATAATAGAAAACTGGGGTAACCATTACAAATAAAATAGGAATTCACATACATGAACACCGTGGCGTCCCGACTCGTTTATCGAGACAGGGTTCTCGTTCCAATCTCGGCATTCTTTAATATTAAACTGGGGATCGTCGGTCAGATATTTTGACTCCTTCGTTTCTGTCGGTAAGGCACAACTGGAAATATCCTTTGAGACAACTATCAACTGCCAAAAACTGGGGCTAATGTCGACTGGTTACATCTACTAACAAACTGACCGAAATGGAACAGGTACTGAGGCCAGTGACCAACTAAGGGCATGCATTGATACAATGATAGTTGGAAGGCATACTAGTAAGAATTGCACTCGCTGGTATCTGAAAAAAATTGATTAAAAAAAGGAATTGAGAAAATATCCATTAACTGTATCAAATATGAACTCACTTGCCCATCTCGCCAAGGTGAGTGAATAAGAATTCATCGAACTTCATTGTCGCAGTTGTCACGACAACTACACAACCTGGAAAAAAATCTGGACTTAGTGGCAGGAGGCTGGAAAAGCCTATTTGTAATATCGAATGGAGAAATTTGCGTTCTAGCCTTCACCTCTTCTGAAAGGAGGCCAAATTTTAAACAAAACTTTGTCCGTGGTTTGCTAAGCACTACGTCTTGATGATTCAGGCGGAGGTGGTGTAGTGACAAGTGGCGCGCGGCGCCGGGTTCAAATCCCGGGTCGACTCCCGCCCAGGCCAACCAAGCCTTCTACCCTCCGGGGACGGTAAATTGGTACCAGATTCGTCTGGGAGGATAAAACACTGACTTGTACATCGGCTGGCCACCGCAAGTCATTGTATAGGCCACATCGCATTCAATAAGCCTACGATTCTGAATGGAATGTATAATGCGATGACCGCATCCCACAAAGGGATTGATCAACGGCGAAGACTTATCCCTTTATCCTTTTGCGTCTTGATGGCTGCTAACGCTAGCGCATTTCTGCAGGGCTGGGTCTGGAGCGGCGCCAATCTGTCCTCCACCGACTGGCTGGCAGGTGACCGCAATAAGAGAAGAAAACAGGCTGTCCGGCATCTGAGCCCAACGACTCATTTTTCCCTGAGGACATCCCACTCGCCTCGTCTCAGCTACCGATTCGATGCTAATTCCTGTCCTCGAGGATTTACAATCCTTTAGGCCACCATGGGGTGTCGGACGCGAAAACGGCTGCCTAAACAAAGAACAAAATTTGCCGCGCAGCGCGATTGCCGAGCCCCTCCCCTAACTTCCAGCAGTGTGAAAGTGGCTTTGTCGCACGGGCTAGTTGTTATGTCCGCGCTCAAGGATATAGGTATTGGCCGCTAGCACGGAATTTCGTGCTAAATCTATTGTAAGAAGAGCGTTCCAATTAGAATCAGTACGCTGGACGTCACAAAGATGTCATGGGTCTCTGCTGCGTTGGGGTGGTGCTAACAAGCGTAGCATAAGCAAAACGTGAGAAGAGCTTGTGGGGCAGTTCGGCTTGGTTGGGGCAACAAATGATGCTCAGCAATGCCTGTACAGGCTCGTGAAAATCTGTACGGCCTTTTGTGTTAGTCGCAGCTTCGCGAGAGACTACAGCTTTCCACACGGGGACATGTTACGGTAACGCCATGAAGTAGGCAAAGGGAAGCGGTGAGGACAGACCAGGCGCTGTTATCCGCCCTCCAACTCGCATCACCGCCGAGTTGCTTTTAAATAGTGATCACGCCGAGAAAATTACGACAAACTGAGCAGGAATACTATGTTCTTCACTTTCTGAGCAACAGTAAAATGGGAAGTAAGACTCGAAATCCAACAAATCCGGCTTCTCAAAAATGCAAGCTTCAGCTTGAGACCGAATCGATTCACGATGGCAGCACACACGCGAATTCGGGGCCAAGCAAAAGCGTGGGAAATCTGATTTAGTCGCAGAATTTCCCCTCTTGCACTCAGGTTTCTCCTTGCGTCATAGCACGTAATAAAAGGAAGGCAACAACAACAGCACAGCAATAATTCAAGTTCAAACTAAGCGTTTGCATGAATACCCAGAGAAGAGCCATCATTCATACCTCAACAGCCAGCTGTTGCAATAGAAAATGTTCTCAAGACCCCTGAGAGCATTAAATCTCTGGAGGAAATATCCAGGCTAACAAATTTGACAAGGAGAACAAGAAAGAAACAAGCGAAAATATTCTACAGGGAACTCAGAAGAAATGAGTTCTCCACAGGAAATCTTACAATTTTTTACCCTCAGTTCAAGATGCAAATAGGGGTGCTCAAAAAGATCTTAGCGCGGCAAACAACAACGCCCTTCTCATTTCTGAAGCCGATCGTTATAGCGATAGTTCCCATGCTAACAAAAAAAAATCCCATGAGCTTCCAACGGTACAATGCAAAACGGCAAAATAAAGGAAATGAGGTTGAAGGTCGAAGGAGAAGGACGTTAAGGTGCGGCCGTTGACCGTTGTAAAACGCTTTGAAGAACAAGCAGAAAGAGAAACGTTGGAAACGTACTAAGTAAGACCCCGGTAGGCTAGAAAATTGTCCGAGCATGCGGCCAGAATGTTGTTGTTTGCTGATATCATGAGGTAAACAGCTGTCCCCCTGACACAACATTTTCGTTAATGAGATTACCATCACTGCCCTAGCTTAGCCTGTCTTGTCGGCCAGACCGCACTTGTGAAAAGGGCAGGGACCACACATCTGGGTAGGGTCACCTTACTACACAAACTAGCTACCTACCTTTTTCCCACAAATTCCACCTTGAAGAAAGCAGTGCACACTAGTCGGATGTTGACACGTGCACGTTAAACCCACCGACTAGATCATCGCACACTCCCCCTTCGAGACCAGGACATTCGTAGGTTGAGGATTCAGCGAGAGGAGGCATCTGGTCAGCGGAGATAAGGAAGGTTCCTCTCTCCTCCTGGTTCTCAGCTGTTGACTATTTTCGGCTTTCCCCGTTTCACAGGCGCCTAGGCGCCTATATATCTCCCCTTAAACGGTCTTCTGGTTGGAAAGGGAACTGAGGAATTATTGAAAAAAACTACAGGAAAGTGGTTGGGAATTCAGAGAACCTAGGATGGTTGGGGGAGG